ATTTGAGTCTGCTCCTCACGTGATGGTATCTCAGCGAATAGCGGCGCGGCGGCACGTGGAAAACAGACGCGCAACTCTGGGGCGCAGCCATCTTGAATGTCGTCACTTCCGGTATTTGGTAAAACATCGTTTTGACCTCTCCACGTCCCGCTGGAAGGTGCTTACGAAGAAAGCGTGATTGTCTCACATTCTTGTTTTGCCTCACCTATATTTTCTGGCATATTCCAGGTTGAAACGTTTTATTATTTTTTCGTCCCGCATACCCGATACGGAACCCACGTGACTGAGAACGACAGGAAACAGAAAACTTCTATACAGGAACTCTAGCCGAGACTCCTCGCGACCACTGTGGTTTATTAAAACGGACATAATAGTTGTTTAATGTACCTTTTGTTTAAACATAACTGCGGACAAAAAAAGCTACACTTACATTAAAAAAAAACGCAGTTTTATTAATAAGGCGCTTTTGTTGCCAACAGATTTCGCCTGCGTGTCGTCTGCTTTTTTTCGCTGGTCGGCTACACTAGAGTTCATGTGAAGGCTCCCTACGGGAGCCAGAGTTGCGCTTTCATCCCCGTAGCGCCGGCTTTCCTGCACGGCCCGGTTTTCTGCTCGTCATGTGTCTCGATTCGACGAATAGCGACGCCGCGCCTTGGCGGCTCATGGCGTCAACTAGAAAACTTATTTTCTAAAAAACAGCAAAGGACAAAGGAGGCAAAAGCAAGAAAACATACGCCGGAGCGCTTGCAACTTCGACGAAGCGACCGCGAGGTGGCCTTCCTGCACGGCACTTGGATTTTTCTCATCACGTGATCGGATCTTGGCGAATAGCGGCGCTGCGGCACGTGGAAAACAGACGCGCAGCTCTGGCTGCCGTAAGGCTCCTATGCAGGAACTGTAGACTACACCTTCCGACGCCTGCCTCCCGACGTCATCTCTCAATACGTGCCCCGCCACTCGACTCGGTCGTCCGCGTCGCCATCCACCGTTGACCATGCCAAGTGTTTTGGTCCTCTTTTTGTACAAAAAGGGAGCTACGCTTTTCATTTTTACAAAAAAAAAAAAAAAAGACCAACCTGTAAAATACACCTTTTACGAAAAGCTTAGATTGCTTCTATCAGGCACCGACTTATACAGTCCATTTTATATCGAGCCTCGTTATTTCAGTCACCCTGTATATTAGAAACTGTATCTCACTTTAGTAACTCCTAATTTAGTACAATTGCAAATGGCTCGGTGTGACAAACCACCCTCGGCCCCGAAAACGCAGTCGACGCCGACCCAATGCTGGGCACTACTACGGGGTCATCATCAGGTAGTCGCTGGAAACCGGTGTCGACCCGGATACAATAACCAAAACCGGCCCGAAACTAGAAGCCATTGCCGGCACGACATGGGCAGCCGGTGCCAGCCCGTTCCCGGATAATTTGTTTCAACCAGTGTTGGGCCGGAGACAGGAGCCACTGTCAGCCCGGAATCGGTAACCGGTGCTGGCCCTTTGCCGGATAATTTGTTTTAACCGATGTTGGACCGAAGCTGGGAGCCGCTGTCGGCGCGGAATCGGTGGCTGGCGTCGGGCCGGGTTCTGCACTGTATAGCAAAGCCAGAACTGCGCCGAAACTGGCACTCGATGCTGGCCCACCGCTCCCAGAGCCGGCCCGTTATCGCGTCGATTCTCTGTGCTGCTTGGGAGCGGAGGATCCGCACGGGATCTGGCGGAGCCCGCAGCACACCATGCGAGCGACCCAAGTGCGACGCGGGCAGAACCAACCTCACGGCAATGACAGTGCCACTGTTTCGCCCGCTACCGCAGCGGCCCGGGCTCTTCGGGCGAAGGCAGCTAGAATTTCTAAACTGACCCTCTCTAGTGACGTTAGCAGGAAAGTTCTTCAATCGCACTGCCTCCGGCGCGAGCTTCCTACCTTCGATAGCGCTTCGGCGTCTCGTGAGTGTCTAGCAGACAAAGCTCAACGAAAGGCAATGAGCGCGTGAGGAAGGCCGGGCGTTCGAAAAATACGCCCTGCCGTTGTCACCTTGCCAAGTACTACAGACCACCCACTTCGTGTACTAGTAACCGGAAAAAATGAAATCCAGTCTTGCTGTGGCGGCGAACTTATTAGGGACTTTTAGCAAACCGGTACCGTGTTCCGCGTACCGCACTACTGGTGCCCTCGGAGCATGCTTTTAAGCGCGCGCTGAAAAGCACGCTTCAAAGGCTTCATAGTGCGGTACACGGAACGCGGCAAGGGTTTGCTAAAAGTTACTAATATAACGACTGTCCGCAATCTCACAGGAAAAAGAAAACCGGAACAAGGATAAAACAAGGCTTTCTGACAACTTCCTACCGCGCCCGGCGGCGGCAATGAGCGTTCATCTCCTGAGAAATGTAAATTAGCACGCATATAGTCACTAAGAGAATGAGGACGTCAGGGCGCGTCCTTCGAACGCACGGCCTTCACCACTAGCTCCCTGTCTTCCGTCATGCTTTGACTGCGCAAGAACCCTCGGGGCGCACCGGATGCCAAAGCACTGTCGCAGGTTGGAAGCTCGCGCTGGAGGCGGGACAACTTAAGCTCCGTCCTCCCGCTGTCACCCTGTGAGAAAAAGCCGGAAGATGTAGGGAAACGCCTGATAGAGGTGGGGCTCATATCTATGAGGCGATTCCCAACTGGATTCGGGAAATGCGCCAAATCTGGTAATTCTGTAATTGAATAATACATACTTCAGGAGTACTAATGTACAACACTTCCTATTTCGCAAACATGCTGGTGACGAATTCTTGGGTGGCTCAAGGTAACACCAAATGTCTTAATTTCAGGTTCTTAGCAAATCTTTCAATAACCTTGTCAGTTTCATTACTAAAAGCCGATAATTTCTGTTCCCAGGTGTCACCAGAAATTTGCAATAAAGTACGGAAAAGAGTCCTTACATTCAATGAAAAGATATGGTCAAATTTCTCCTGCATTCAATAGCATGCCATGTTCGGGTTATGGCCTAGTCCCGTTTTGGTATATCTTGAAATCTAAGGGGCTGGATTCATGTTCACGCACAATCGACACTTACTCTGAACTTTCTCGATGCAAATGTGGAAGGGTATATGTAGTCTGTTGCAGGTTAAGACTGACAGGAAAAGCTTCTCCTACAAAGCTCTCTGCTCGCCACGATTGGTGGTCTCCTCAACTGCAGGGTGTCACAAAAGAAAACTTGCACGGTCTTTTTTACCAAAAAAATAAACTAGGCATCGCCGAACGCTCATTCTCCGCCCAAAGGTAGCGCTAGAGGTCACAACCGGATGCCAAAGTTTCAGCCCGATCCGATAACTTCATCAAAAGTTACAACTGATTTTCTAAAAATTTCAATGGGAAAATGGCGGCCGACGGAGTTTTCGAACACATGGGGCTCTATGACACCAGAAACCGAAAACGGGCAAAAATGGGATCCATTTTCCCTGTGAAATTTTCAGAAAATCACTTATAACTTTTCATTAAGTTATCGGATCGGGCTGAAACTTCGGCATCTGGTTGCGATCTCTAGCTCAACCTTTGGCCGGAGAATGAGCGTTCGGCGATGCCTAGTTTATTTTTGCGGCAAAAAAATACCGTGTAAATTTTCTTTTGTGACACCCTGTACATTCGCCTTCTCTCCAGTGTTCGCTCTGCTAAATTGGAAAGGGTTGGAGCCTTCGTGGGAGAACCTTGTTCTGATATTTTTGATCAGCAATAGACTATAGCGGCCCTGTGGCAAAGTGCACGAGGCATTGGTGTGTTCAAGGTGAAATCGAGATATCGTCGCTGCTCTCTGCAGCTGCTTAATGGACCAAGTCAGTTTGCAGTCAGGCGTAACCCATGGATGTTCATCGTCAATCTAAGTTCTGTCGCGAGCGCACTCAAGATTAGGGCAATGGGTAAATTATTCTCTGATTTACGAATTGAACTTAGCGCCGCCTAACTCCACGATAATAAAAAAGCAATGACAGCTTAAAACTTGCAGCCGAATCTCGCCTTGGCGGGGCCCGCACACGCTAAAGCTTCTCAAATATTAGTTGACGTATTTGGTTAGTATATGTACAATATACAACGAAGCAATAGCTTCCTAATGACTCTGTGCTCATCTGCATTACTAGATGTACTGTTCAGAATAAAAAGAAAAGTAAAGGAGGAGGCAAGCGACCGGGCGAAATTCGAGGGTCACGTTGCTCATGAGTCAAAGAAGTTTATGGTCTTTAACTCTTTTATTCGAGTCACCAGGAAATCGTCGATAGAGCGCACGGTAATTCTTTAATACTGCTCTCTCGTGCTCTTTCAGTACAGCGGTTTATAGGCCATTTCTCATAGATTAAGAAACTAATCATCGTACTTGCATTTTGATACGTCTAAAGCTACTCCCGTTTTGGGTCCTCCCTTAGAGAGCAAAACACTGCACGACAGTACTGCGCAGAATGCTTTCCGCATTTACACAATAAAAGCGCGTTCTACAGAAGTCTGCATATCGTGGTGACATTTGTCTAGTGACCATCTCGAATTTATGGCTTATTTGGTCTAGCCTTGAATTCTATAAAAAATCAAGGGTACAAATCGCACTGCAATACATTTCACATAGAGATATTTGGGAATGGAATGACTAGTTTTAAGAAGTTTTATTATGGAGTAAAAAAAACAATAAGCTGCTTTTACAATGCGCCACTTCGTTGAATAATATCTTACTTGTAATTCGCTTTGAGAAATAGTAAACGCTTTGATTCTACATTATTTTCAAGAATAAATCCTGCTTTGGATGTCGATTTTGAGTAAACGTAGTTTTGGAATCGTCATTCAAAACATGCACTACTACCTATGTTACCTTTGAAGAGCCGAGTCATGAATTCGAGTGCTTAGCAAATACAAAAAAAGCGACATTTAACAACAAGCAGAAACATCATGGTTAAGTTATATTTTCTGCGAGCGTTCAATTTTCCACAATTATTCGCATGCAGAATCCTACCTGACGTTACCTATGGCATCTATGTCATGGATATGCATTTATTTGATTGTGCTGTTTGACTTGTGTCCTCTACCGAGGTGCTCAACCCCTTCCTAAGTTGTTGGCGTCAGGTCCCTCAAGGTTCACGAGCTTGGACGAGATCTGGAAGAGCCTTTCAGCGGCCCTGCGGTCTTTGGCCCTGCGGCTGACCCAGCCCTTCTTGCAGTCCGCGTAGTAGTTGCCCGTCTCCTTCGCCAGCCTCGGGTGCACCGCGGCGAAGATGGACGTCTGGGCACCTTCTGACGTCGACTGCGGAGAGAGAGGTTGTGTCAAGCTTCCACGCCCAAGCAACGGCGGAGCGTCATATTCACGTCCGCAAAACTTCGTCAGTTAATGCAAAGACAAACTATGTGCTCCTTATTTGTCAAGAATAAATGGGATGTCAAATAAAGTGGAGAGCAACTAGCGTCATAGAGGAGACTTTGTCTGCTGAAAAATAAAATTATTCGGTGAAGCGATCCTGGGACCACTCCAAGAGTGGCGGAGCGCTCTTCCAGCTAAGATAACCAGGAGCTAGCCGTCAGTAGAGCAAACGGATGATGTTACGCTCCGGGCGAAACGACGAAACGAGTGCGTGTCCTCAATGGTTTTCGAGCATCGTTTGTTGCTTGTCAGCCGGACAAAGTGAAGAGGCCGCAGGTTTGTCGGCATAGCCGCTTATCTAGACAACAAATAAGCGCCACGCCCACTGTCGGGGCAGTATCTAAACGAGGCGGTACCGATAAGCGACCACCGCGCAAACAAAATAACAGCAACATTACAATTTTCATTAACAGATGTCAACTGGAGGCAATTGTTAACGCCCGTTTGCTTTACTGAGAACTTGCTCATGGTAAGCTCAGTGTTTAGAACGTTCCTCTAGCTTCGGAGAGGTCCCGGGATTGATTGCCGGACCAGGGATATTCTTCAGCGGACAGCAGTCGCGTATAGAGCGCGAGTGGCACTTCATTATTGATGGAATTATATTTATATTTGCGTACATCTTCTCACCCTTAAGGACTTACCCAAAATCATTGAAGCTCTCAATTTTTTAAGTCTGTCGCCCAAAGTAAGTTTGAAAGGGTGATCCGATTGGCAGTTTGGTTATTAAGAAAAATATGGCATTATGCAAAACCTATAAAACAGGTGCAAGACATTAAACTGTTAAACGTAACCGATAAATAATTTTGTCTAATGAAAAACATATTTCTGGCTTTTCGCGTTCTGTTCAAAACTACTAAAAAAAAGTGCATAAAAACAGGGTGTGGATATATTGCGCGTACACTTAAGGAGCCGTAAAACACCCATAGGACGACTTTAAGATCTCTAGCGCACCTTTTTAGAGGTGTTTATTAGCAACCTTATGTGTTAGCCCTAACCGTGAAAGCGCGCGCTCTTAATTGCAGCAGAGGATGGACCAGATCAAGAACATATTGCAAACCTCTTCCTCTACGACCTTCGTTCTGATAGTTTCTCTGCGCTACATCCACTGCACGCTACAGCTGCCTCAAGATCTTGACAAACAGGTACTGGCATCAACACATGATGACGATCTGGAGAAGAATTTCGAAGACATGTGACGAACCAAAAGGTTTAGCTTTATTATTACGAGATCTTGTTTAAGGGGAATTCAAATGAGAGACAAATTTCTCCCTTTGTGCCCCGGAATACTCATCGCGTGGCAATAACGTCACGCGTTTGTGAGGTGCCGCGCTGGCGAAGACATCCTAGGGGTATGGGGGTGCTTTTGCCCCTGGCTGCGAACACCCCGCCGTGGTGTAGAATCTCTTTGCAATTGGCGGTATTTTGTTTGCGTGTCTGGTAACTTCACAGATTTTGCTCAGCGAGATGCCGGTGGTGACATCGGGATTGCCTAACTTGTGGCTTGCGCTGTTCCGCATGTCGTCCGAGGCAACCGGAGTTGTCTTAGATATTCACCAATGTCGTCCTCAAACCGCTCAAGACATTCATCAATGCCGTCCTCAAGCCGCTCTTCATACAACTGTTTTTTTTTTTTTTATTTCGTGTCCTTAGTGTTGCATCCACACATTCAAGAAGCCTGTTTCTTTTAGCAGGAAGCAATTCGTCGTCTTCTGCGTCTAAGAGCGCTGCTGCCATACTCACGTTTTAAGTAGGCCTCCAATTTTCTACTCTCGTCAAGGCGCAGCTGCTCGACAACAGTCGAGAGTGTCGAGAGTGCGACCACGAAATGCGTCTGATGGACGTGACGGAACTTATCCTCACGTGCAACTTGGAGTCATCGCCTCCGCTGCCCAAGCACGTCACGATTCCGTGATTCCTCATTTCGATTTTGCGTTCAGGATTAAAGCTAAAGAGTAAAAAGTTGAAAAATAATTTCATGGGTCCTTTAAGGTGGTTGTCCTTACTCCAGGACAGCAGGGCTTACGACAGTCCCGTGCGCGAAAGTATCCGGTTTGACTTCAAAGATAACCATAACCACAACGTTTTCGATTTCGATACTTCGAAAAATCGTTTCATTGATTCAGTTGCGCTTAACTGGTGGTCGTTTCATCAAATTCCGGCCTTACAACAATTTTCATGATAAATTAACATTGTGGAAGGCTTCAGTGCAAGAAGATATAAGAACATGCTTTGTTTTCGTTGTTGAAATAGAGGCTACTGCTAAAAGTGTTGGATAGAGCTGTAAAGCAAAAATGGCACGCTCAAAAGAAAAGAGAGAACCATGTGGAGTTTTTTTTTTTATATCAAAATCTAAATAAATCATTCGAATTATTTTTTGTATGTCGCGATCCTGAAACTAAAAAGCGCAACGTGAATCAATGCAGCTACCTTGCCCGCAAGGTCCAGGACTAAGTTGAAGAAGAAGGCTCCAGGCGACTTATTTGCGATCTCCGTCTTCACATTTCCGGGATGCACAGCGTTCACCGTGACTCCTTGATGAAAGAGAGAAGCGCAAACAGAACACACACGATAAGAATTGTTCCATGCAGCAAACCATTCACTGCGCAAGCCACGCTCTCGTAGAAATTAAATTGCCTCCCGTAGCTGGCACACCATTTTTCGTGCGTCGCTTCTGGGAACCTGTTTCACATTCCCCATTTTTATATATATCTTGGTTCAATGAGTGATGTATGCTACCACAGGATCTTTCACGTACAAGAAAAGGGGCGGGGCAACATCTGCCTTTGGAGATGAACACATGTCATCAGCACAAGCTGTATAAGTAAAGTAAATCATCGGCTGCCATGAAATACGAGTTTGACGGTTCGAGAAGACCGTGGCGAACGATCGCTGGCAGCTATGGCTGCCAGAAAGTACTTCTTATACAACGTTCTGTCATTGGTCCGAATGCAGTCCAAGGCTCAAGCACATAGTATACACTCACTGACGCACACGTTAAAACTTCAAATCACGGGGCATTCACTGCGCTTGTCTGTTTTAGCCGGAAGACACACAGAAAGGTGACGAACACTAATGCGTTTCTCTTTTGAAGCCTTGTGATGGGTCTCATCGGGTCGTATCGTCGTCTGCGCGTTCAGTTTAGGTGAAACAAAGCGTAACACACAAGATCGCAATACTAAATTTTCTTCCTATCCTACAACTGGCCAGCGCAGATCTCAGATTGGACACAAATCCTTCGTAAGCCTCCGGCTGGTGCCTCCGCCCATAGAACAACAGTTTCGGCCGAACGCTGCACGCGCGCACAAAAGCAGTGTCTTGCACTGACCTCTGGCTGGTGACGTAGATGACCCAGTACCACGGACTTGTTACCTAAGGGGTGTTGAGGTCTCCTCGATAAGCCCGGGGGGATGAATTTTCGACATCACCTAAAGAGGCAAACGCTGGACACGGGTGGGGCACGAGTGCTGCTGTCGACTCAAACACGAGTCTTCGCTGAGTTAAGACCTGTCTCGACCAAACGCTGAAGAGTGCCTCCCAATCTGTGTTCGCCTCTTTAGGAGACGCTGAAACACCTTCGGCTTTGTTACCTAAGTTTAATAAACGCCTGGTGTGGCTTGCTATGTTCACTGTTCCGGATCCGTTCCTTGTCTGATACCACGATCTCTTTGGCTTCGAAGCGATAATAACATGTCTACAACTCGCCCATCGTTTCTTAGGCTGTTGGGAGCTGCTGAAATGTGAATGCGACTGTAGCGCATCATATCGAGATATGTCGATTTTTATTCGATAGAAGAGGAAGATGCAGAATGACTGGTCGCTTGCGATTGGTTCCTACTCAATTCAATGGGCTACAATCGCATCCATGGCAGCGTTTACATGGATGTGACAGTTGCCGCGTTCAATCAACCTGCTCATCCTACGCCAGCTGCACTCGATGCACATCGCCGTATTCGATTTACAGCTGCACCGTACCTTAACAAAAGCGGATGTACATTGCCCCCCACTTCTCTGCACCGCGCCGCACTATCGTGCACCGGGGCAGGCTGGTGCAGGTAAATTGAATGATCCAACTAGCGCGTGAAGTTGAGAGAGAACCAATCAGACGCGTCCAGTCCCTCTGCTTCTTCCTCTTCTACCCAATCAAATTCATCATATCTCGATTCAATGCGCTACGGTTGCGCCCATATGTCCGAGGCTCGGGTGAACGCAGCCAGGGACTATAGGAGGTGTCGGGTGAGCGGGGATACATCGCGAGTAAAGGTTCGCACCCGTGCCCTTGAGCCTTTCGGCGAGGGCCTTGGTGAAGAGCACCTGGGCGAGCTTGGTGTTGCTATAGACGAGTACGGGGGTGCGGACCGGATGCACGCCCCGGGCCTTGTCTTCCAGGTCATCCACGCTACCCACGTGGTGCAGGATAGACGACACGTTGATCACCCTGCTCGGAGAGCTCCTCTTGAGCAGATCTGCGAAATTGGCGAAATACTCTCCTGGAGCTAGCTCCAGGCTTCCAGAAGACACAAGCAAGATGACTGATATCGCCACTCCCACTGGAGCAAGGTTCCTCAAAAGGCCTTGCATTTTAACACACAGTGTGTTATAAGTATATAGCATTCCTTGTTTACGGGGTCTTTAAATTGAAGCGTGTTTTCTCAGTTGTAGTTTGTTTTTTTTCACCAAAGATTCGGTGTTTTGCGATATCAAACTTTGACGTCGGACAAAAAATCGATGTTTATCGGCCGTTAAAAAAAGAAAAAGACGATATTGTCGTAGGATTTCACAACTTCGAGAGCACTCGCTTGACCTGAATACTTGGAAGACTTCCACGAACAAATATAAAGAAAGAAAAAAGGGTTTTGGTCTTCAAACAAACTGGCAACCTTGCGGTCAGTTTAGTGCGTCCGTGTGCGAGGAAAATAAGAAATCAAATAAAATTGTAGTTTGAGATTCTTTCCTGCCAAAGCTTCTTTTTTTTCGTTTATTTATCGAAGTACAATTTAATTTCTGGTCTTTTAGGTTTTCCTCGATTGTGACAGAAGTCGTCTCGGGGGTCATTTTTTACGGTTTATCAGTATTTACCGGAAATCATAGGGCTGGGTTATGGGAGAAAAGCGACAGGTTACGCTTCACCGACACATGGGTCAGGTGACAACGTGGCGTGACGTGACTTGACGTCAAGTTCAGGTGTCACCTGGTGTCACGATCTCACGTGACTCCACACACACACAGCATGAGCCAGCTCATTCGCAAGTTGTGCCTCCGCGAGTTTATCAAATATGTTCAAGACCTGCTTGAATTTTCAATGACATAAACAGTTCATTTTATTTAAATCGTGAATCTTCATAAAAGGGAGAAAAAATTAAATTCGCATCTAAACTTAGAGGGACATTTTAACGCTGTTTATGTTTCGAAAACTTCAATATAAAAACTCAAAAACTTTAAAGACACATCAATTTTTATCGGATATAATACAGGCTCCAAAAAAAAAAAAAAGAAAACTTCAGGTTTTTTTTTTTCCTGCAAAAATAAACTTGTAGCGCTGGAGCTCCAAGCCAGATGCCAAAATTTCAGAACTAGCCGTTATATCAGTCAAGTTATAATGGATTTTATAAAGTTTTTAATGAGAAAATGGCGGCTGATGGACCTTTTCAAAATACACTGAGCTCTATGGCGCTGGTTACCGAAAACGGGCAAAGATGGATTCTATTTTCGAATTAAAAATTTGAGACAATCACTTATAAATTTTGAACAAGATAACGGTTACTGTTGAAACTTCGCATCTGTTTTAGACCTTTAGGACTACCTTTAGGCGAAGAAAGAGCCTTCTGTGGTGCGTAGTTTATTTATGCGGTAAAAAAAAAGAGACTAATTTTTTTTTTTTTTTGGGGGGGGGGAGGGGTAGGGGCTGCTTTTACTATTGGTATACATTTCCAAATATTGTCAAAAACTACAGTCTGACACTAGCCTAACTCGCCAAAAAACCACTTATATGTAACTGCTTTATTGTTTTCATTTAGTCACAATGACTGAGACAATAGCTTATTTTTTCCTGACCATCACTTTAGTTTTCAGATAAAAAGCCCCAGCATGGTGTGATGGACAACTTCTGCCGTCAGCCCAGAAGCCCAGCCATGTATAGGCCTCACACTTTACGACAGGTTCCACGCGACACTTTACAACCCAAGCGTAAACTTTATCGACTCTTTTCCTGGAGGCAGGAGAGAGGGAGAGGAAAGAATACAAATTATAGTTGACAGGTATTTCTTTCCTTCCGCGTAACCTCCGCTTTGGCCATTTCCACCACTTTACGATTTCGGGCTCTCCAAGGACAGACCCCATTGTTTTCCACGTTATTCTAAGAATGAACAACAGAAAAACGTTTTCTTCTTTCCTTTGCAAGTTACCAAAGAACTCCTTTCTTACGTCGTCCTCGTCGCAGGCGTGCGAAAGGGTGGTCATGGGCTTCAATGCAGGATAGAGCCGTCGACTTCCTCAAACATAAAATGTCAATGGGGTTATCTCCCCTACCTTCTAATGTCCGGACGTGACCATAGTTTCTCAAAACTTCTCTGAAGGAAGAGATGCATATTTTTCTAATTTTCCTAGTTTTGGAATACGCCGACACTGTACGGGACCCCGATACTGCTGTTCAGACAGCCAACTCTAAAAAGGCACAAAACCGGGCTTTCCGGTTTAAAGGGGCGATGCAACAATTTTCGAACTTTGCGAAAATACTGCTTAAAACGGATCCCTGACGTTAATGACCTATGAAACACGCGTTCGTTTTTCACCCGACGCAATAGAAGTTCCAGAAAAAAAAATTAAAGAAAAACGAGCACCATTCACTCCCTCAACTCGCAGCCAGAACAAGCGGCCACGTGGTCTGGAGTCGATTACATGCCGCTAACGTTGATTATAGCTACGCGCTGGGGTTGGCAAAGCACAGGATACGCGCTGAGTTCTAGACATTGTTATGGCTGGGCTATTGTCGTCGTTGCAGCGATTGGGCACGGGCCACTACCCGAATGTATGTCGAGGAATCGATTGTCACGAGCCAAGATCGAATGTGTACGCAGTCTTCGCCTCCACTGTATGAGCAGCATTCGAATATCGTCACAGCTGGGATCGCAAAGCTCGATGACGCAGTGCTTCTTGGTCAGTGGTGTTGCGTTCGAGTATTCTTGAGTCCCACTAGTGCCAGAAAGCTGGTGTAAAGTAAGAAATATTCATACGCAATGTCGTTGCACAGCCCCTTTAAAGTATACAATATTGACTGGCTACTAAAGAGAGCAGACACAAGCGCGAGCTCTGGGCTTTCAACATCCCTGCCAAGCACGCGCGCTTGGGAGTGCGAGCACTGTTCGGGCCCACATGCTCGCGTTTGTAGCATCGGCTACGTCCACACTTTAGCTGGAAAGAAGTATAGTGTGGAGGGAGGCTTTTTAAAGAAGCTGCTGCGACTGAAATTGTCTAATAACGTGCTTCACTGGAAAACGGTTCTTAAAGGTGCCATGAAATGATTTTGCAACTTCTTTTCTCTTAGCTTGGCTCCTCAACGCAAAAGCGAAATGAGAAATCACGCGGTCCTGACGTGTTTGCGCACCGGCACGATGACTCCACGTTTCGCCTTCGTTCTTAAGCACACCATGGAACTTGTCATTCGCAAGCGATGATAAGTGCCGTCACGGTACTCATTGACCACGATCGCCAGTTCAAATATCTGTTGATGGAATGATTGTTGACGAGCGCAAACGTCCCAGTGACGCAGTGCTCGAGTCTAATGCGCCAGCTGGGTTAGGCTAACGTACTTTGTGTACCACAGATGTACTACAGTGAAAAGGCGGAAATATTTCAAAGGAAAAAGGGTACGGAATAGTCCGCTATATTTTCGATCTTTTGTATCGAAAAGCAGGCTTTTGACTTTCTACCCTCTTTCTTTTGGCCCACTATACGATATGCGATTATACTTCGTCTCACCCTACTATGGACTAAAGGCAGAAGCTACTAACCGCCGGATCCGACCACGAGCCGCTTAGACATTGCGTGGTATTTCGCTTCGATGAACGTATCGGTGTTCGCGCCTCGGATCACTGATGGGAATGGGCGGACAGTGGTTCAGATCGAGCCATGAGTGACTCAACATTTTTACATTGCAAAGAAAGCAACGACGTACTGGCTCCTTGCAGCGTCGAAGCTATAAAAATGACGCAGCGTTCTTGGATTGGGAGCATTATTCGTCCAAACCTAACCAATATGCAAAGCGTGTCATAGTTTAGCGTGGAACGTGATTGGACCTGGCGGCCCGTGGCTTTGGCCTTTAGTCCATCGTAGGATGAGACGAACTATAGCAAGATTCCAGTCTAAAATTAAACAATCATACGAATATTTCTTTCAAGATTCCTTTCATCAAGAAATCTACCTTACCTCACTGCATTAGATATCGCAACGAAGGGATCAGATTTATAAGGCAAAGAAATACCGTTGCCGAAAAAGTGTATTTCAGAACTACATTTGTTTTCTAAAAGAATACAGGATTCGGGCAAACTTACCATTGTGCCTGAAGCTCTGTTTTGTTTAGCATTAACCTTGTAGTTTATTTCAAACGCTTTCTGTTAGAACAACAGCCTGTCAAACGTTATGGTAGGTATTGAGTATTTCAAAATTTTGTATATCATTGTGATTGTTATATTCGTAAGTTTCCGAAAACTATTTCTACTTCACACCAAATGCCTCCCTCCTCCTGTGTAAAGCCGAGGTCACACTCCTCATACGTCGTGGAAAAGATAGTGTAAAAGCACGAGTCACCGCAATATCAGTGGTTCGAATGCCACATTACCAAGTTTGCTGCTTGAACTCATTGCCATGCGGCATTCGAAGCGCGGATTTCGTGGTAACCCAAGTGCTAAATATGGCGACGTGCGCGACCGAAAGCGTCGCTGTGGTCGGCCTTCCACGATTGGCCCAAAAGCTGACTATGACGTCGGAAAGGGTATACCATCGACGGAAATAAGAGGAATGAAAGAACTTTAATTTCGACGGTGTTGGCAGTGTTGCTTTGAGAGTGCAATGATTTCAGGCTTCCATCATGCTATTTACAAACACCATCGACCTTGTTGTTCGCAAGCTAATGACGTCACAAGGGGGAACCATAGGAGGGCGCCACCGAAACATCTCGCCGCTAATATTTTGCATGATATATAATCAGTGTGACCCCGGCTTAAGCAAGATATATATATATATATATATATATATTTTTTTTTTTTTTATTATATAGAGATTTTTTTAAGCCATGGAAGCTACACTTCTGCAAGTTTCCCGAGTGGGTTATACGGCTAGGGGGACATTATGTGTGTGGCTAATCTGTAGGCTATTTAATTAAAATTTGTTAAATTACATTTTTCATTAGTGAAAATACACATATGCTTACAATTAGGAATTTACTGAGCGACATCGAAAACCACTAAAT